AGAGCAAGCAAGAATCTCATAAAGTGCTTTCGATACATTGGTTTCTTTATGAAGTTGCACTGCTCTGTTTTGCAGTTGGTACAGCACCAAGCCCATGAGAATTTAGAACCAGAGTGATTGTGCTTTAACTAGCAGCCCTGGAAATCTCCATACTTCTTCAGTGTGCACTGGGTTTTACTGGTGGAGATTGGTCTTAAGCTTTCACTTTTGAATCCTGACCACAATGCAAAGAGCTTTCCTCAGTCTCCTGAACAAGGTGCTCTCACGGAAACTAATACATGAGTGGCAGAGGGAAAGGAACTCTCACTTGTTTGTTATGTGGGGTTTTTTTCAAGCATTTTTAAATCTTAATATCACTACTGCATTGTTGAAAAAGTTAAGGAAGTTCTGTTGCTAGACAATCGTATAGAGATTGAGCCTAGTAAAAAAGTCAAGAGGTCACCTAATCTAGCACATTCCCTCAGGGAAGGGATCAGCCATATCTACGTCATTCCTGACAGGTGTTTGTTTAATCTTTTCTTTAAAAAGATCTCTGTTGTAGAGATTTTGCCACCTGCATAGGCAAGTCTTTATGAGTTCCTTCTCTTAGAAACTTTTTCTTCCAGATAACTTCAAATGTGCCTTCCTATATATTAATTATTTTTTTTTGTCCTATACTTCAGTCTCTATCTTATATTGTGAAAAAGATTCATTAGGCCAGCTGAATTAGTTGAAAAAAAAAATCATCATTTTGTCCTGAGGTGCTTCAGAGCATTTCCAGATGCAGATCTTGCCACTTTTTTTTCCATTTATATCACTGGTCTCCCAAAATATCTCATTATCTCATCAGCAGCCTTCCTGTGCTTAAATGTTGGACAGTGATGTGTATGGAAACTCATGTTATTTTCAGTTAAAAGAGATTTTAAAATGTGCATTGATCTGCTGATATTGTGAGGTTTGTGCTGTGGCTTAAGATATTAAAGCTGTAAATGAAGTATTTGGGTGTTGTCTGATCTATCCCTTCCTCCACTTGACATTTGTGTCTTTAGTCCACTCTTATCCCAGACCTCATTCAACTGAGCCTTCGACTTTTCATCACAGAAGCACCCTTGCATTTATAAAATAAACAGACTATAGTCACCACACTACATTAAAGCAACTTTGAGTCATTGAGATAGTCAGATTGTATTTTTAAAAGAGGAAGGTGTGTATTAAAACTTCCATGGTTTTTGGTATATGCAAGGAAGCATAATCTCATCAAGTTGCTGGTATATTATCAACGTACATCTTCTGGGGTGCGTTTCTTGTCAAAGTTCTCACAAAAGCTTGTTTGTGTGAAAGCTCACTCCTTGAATGGTTTTAGTGCTAAGTAGCACAAGTTCTGTAGAATTCAAACATTTTGACTTCCCTCACACAATGATGAGCCTTATCAGTAGTAGCGTCGTTCAGTGCAGACAAATACTTACGCGTGATTTCAGGATGTTTAAATGTCAGCTCTTCCCGGTAAGGCAGTGTTCAGTTCTTACTTGAATTTGGAAGTTATTTCTGATCAGTAATTCTGGGTTTTGCTAAATCATTTAACTACACACCAATTCAATTTTTTATGTTTAAGTCACAATCTAATATATATTTCTTTCTTGTGGAAATATTCCACAAGAGCTGTAGTATATACATATAATTTTATGGCACATGTTCTTAAAATGATTTTTTTCAGTAAGATGAGTAAAAAAAAAAAAGACTAAATCAGTTATTTTAAGCTACATTGTAGATAATTGCTTTTCTTGTTTAGTTTATGCAGAAGAGAAGTCTTCTAATTTTCATTTACTAATTCCTGTTCTCTTTCTGTTGTTTAAGATGGAAGCTACAGACAAAATCGACTGAACCTTACAACACTGTTAGTCCAACCAATTTCTGCGATGCTTGCCAAAAAACTTATTTCTCTACCTGAGGACACTGTCCAACGGGATAGATGTATACCTCTCCAACTGCCAGCTACAGGTAATGCTTTTTCATACTTAGAAGAAAAGATTATTTAAATGTTCTTTAAGGACTCCAAATCCATTTTCTGTAACTGTATATAACTAAGAGGTTTAGCAGACTATAAGTAAGTTTTTGTTTAGCTGCTTTCTAGAAGAGACTGTGAATAAACTAAGAGTTATGCTCCCAAAATATGATAAATGGAAGTTTTGATTAAAAGACCAAAAAAAGTGTTGTGGTGTATGACAGTAAGCTCTAATTTTTAATACTGACCTAAGAAGAATCTCTGTCTAGATTCTATTGCTAGGGAGATTTTGTTAGTGCTGCAGTATGGTTTGTTAGCCCTTGTTTTACTACTAAGAATGTGATTTTTACATTAAGACATCACCAGCAGTATTAAAGTTATTCTGTGTCTGTTTTTCTGCCTCTGGCATAATGCTACTATAATTCTTTCAGTGTTCCTTAATTTGTATCTGCTATAGAATAAAAAATACGTTGTTGCCTGAACCTTCTGGCAGCTTTTTTCCTCCACATTTCACCAGGAAAGCGGTAATCATGATAAGAACAAAATACCTTGAGTAGAGCTAGATGTAATGGAAGAATGTATTCAGAGTATCTCTTCAGAGATAATGCCATTAGCAAAGTCATACAGAGAATACAACCTGCCAGCAAAGACACTGCGTGGTGTTTCAGTGAAGGAAGCAACACCATCCACGTAACGTTCTAGATGAGGTGCATGTTTAAACAGTAATTCTGTCTTGATTTTTTGTTTTGTAGTACTCTAGCTTTCACCAGAAAAAAAAAAAAAAGCAGAAAAAAATGGTAGATTTTCTTATAACACCTGTTCAAATGAATTGATTTGAAACAGTAGTCTTGGAAGGGGGAGACAAGTTATCCACTGTATTCTGTGCTAGATACAGTGATGATAATAGTAAAAGCAAAATTTAAGGGCAACCATTGTACTATCATGTATGTGCTGTGTCACTTGTTTAGTGCCTTTGGAAAGTTATTATGGAATAGGAATACAATACAAGAAGGCATAAAAAAGAATTGATTAATTTTATGGCTTGTGTTAGCATTTACAGTTATGCATATTAAAAAGAAAGGCAGAAGAGGCCTCATGCTTCATGGCTTAAGCTGTTGTGGTTAGGCAGGTCTGTTGCTCTCCACACACAGCTCACTAGGTATTTTAACGATGAACTGATCTTCCTCACAACCGGTAGGCAAAGGCTATATAGATGGGAAAAGGTCCTTGGGAAGGAACAAGAGCTTAACCATCCCAGGTAAGATGTGTGAAGCCTGCTAGTAGGTATTTTCAACAGCTGAAGTGCCTGCAGGAAAGCATGAGTTTGGGCTGGCAAATGGCACTTATTTCAGAAAGGTGAAAGCCTACGCTGGCTATTTCTCAAAAAGCTTTGTGTATCATCTACAGGACTGATTCACCTAAAGGATAGTTATACTACTTTTTTCTGTATGGTGTGGCGTGTCTATTTTATTTCCATGAGAAGGCAGGAGTTCTGCGTATTGGAAAATTCTAGTAAGAGCCACTCTGTGTCCAGCTGACTCTGGTTGAACACAACAGCTTGTGACTAATTTTATGTAAAGATTCTGAACCACAGTTATCCGTGGGGGATTTAAAAAAAAAATTAAAATCTTAATTTATTGAGCACATAGGGTCTATATTATGAAACCTTGCATAATTCTGTAATGCATTATGATATATTTTGCCCTGAAATAGTAGTGAAACTATAGATGTGCAGGAGCATATGGTGTGCTGAACTGTTCAGGAACAGCCTTAGTGGAAGAGAAAAAGACTGGTCCCATGATAAGAAATCTTGCATAACTATTTACTAATAGTAATATCTAAGGAGAAAATGCTGAACAGAGAACAGTGAAGGCTGAATTTGCAGTCTTCCTGTTGATTTGAAGAAGCTTAGGAGAGAGATTTCACTTCTGACGTAGAACTCATCACTTATCTGTCAAAGGAAGTGGATGAGCAATTCAGATGATTGGTTGGCTTAAAATTTGTTAGAATAAAACGATCATCATTCTTTCATCAGTATGTTTCAAAAAGCTGAAGAGCAGATTCATCAGTAATGATTAAACATTTATATATAGTTTTCTCACATTGCCTCTTTTTTCCCTTAGCCTTGCAGTTTTGAAGAGACATAATGTGACAGAGGGAGTAGGAGGATAAGGAGAGAAACATCTGATATATATCAAATGCTTAGAACCTACAAAGTGAATACTGGGAATTGAAGTTAGTTATTAGTTTTGTGTTAGTTGAAGTTAGTAATTAGATTTTCTTTCTGTTTCATGTGGTGCGTCGTTGTTAATCCCCATTAATCTGGAATTCTGTACTCTCATGAACTTTTTCACCAAAATGGGCAATTAGAAGGAATTTAGGAGTGAAGTTTTATAGAGAAGCCGTACGCTTCTTAAACTTGCTTTTTTTTTATGGAGTATCACTAGGATATTTGGTGGAACATTGTGATGATTGCCGTAAAACTAAAGCACTCCTATAAACATAAATGAAGAAAGTCCTGCTGTGTTGCAGTAAACTTACTTTGTTGTTTGTTAAGTTACCTTCCAGTTGGTAGATTTTAATCAGGTGCAAATAATCCCTTTTAAATGAGTCTCTTGAGTACTTAAAGTAAATATATCCAGCAGAATTTGTTTTACAAAGTGTTTTTCAACCCTAATGACCAGGTACTTTGGTGTTAAGTGGAAAACTCGGTAGCCTGGAAGTCTGGCAGTCAAAAATACTAGAGATCTATGTGTATGTTTTCTCTTTGGTTTTAAGTGTCGGTTTTTATACTCATATGATTCACATCTGAGAAGACAGAAGATGAGAAAGATCTAAGATTTCAGGAGAGATCAATCTCCTGCTGTCTGTGGCAGACCTGAGGATTTCACAGATCAGCTTGCATGATTAAGTAGCTTACATTGTCATATGGTATATAAAGAAAAAGGTGTCATATTTTTTGAGAGGATGAATGGAACTCTGAGGAATTTGTGTTGCCAGACTTGTAAATAGGGAGATCCAGGGGATATTGTCAGAGAGGTTCTCAACTGAGATCCTCTCCAGAACCTGAAAACAATGAGATAACATAATGCATGAGGAAATGCATTTGCATGGCTACCTACCCTTTTAAAATTATAGGAAACAATAAGAAAAATAAAAATTACTTGTAACGGTAAGAGACAGAGATAGGGATATGTGATGGGAGGTGTTCAAGTTATTCATAAATGGCTATTAATAAAGTTCCCTTTTCCTCCTTCCTCTTCAGCCACAAGATATTGTGCATGCTAAAAATTCACATAATTCAAAAAGGGCCACTTAAAAATTCACTGAGGAAAAAATAACCAGTCGAAAGAGTTTAAACACACATAGAGCCGCCCATCCTCCCCTTTGACTACACTACTTTTGTGTCACTGGAGGACACAATAACGTCTTAGGAAAGGATCACTGTTCACTCATGCTATTCTTATGTTCTTCTCCACATCTGTGTTTTTGCTCACTCTTGGAGATAAGGGATAGTCGACCAGTTGGTCTGACCTTGTACCCCTGAGCAGTCTAATTCAAATTAAAGGAAGTCTAATGCAAGTATTCATGCATTGATCTTATTTAAAGGCTTCAAGTTTTGTTAGCCAACTGCTGTTTAAATCCAACCCTATTTCCGTGTTTGTCTGGATCAACGAAGGTAGTTGAGGTTTTATTACTTCAGAAAATACCAGTAGACTTAACATACATGGAAGCAGATCCCTTTTCTTATGAACTCCTGTGATGTGAAATAGGTGTAATTTTTTATATTTTAACTTATAAAGTAGTAAAACCAAAGCATGAATAGTTTAATTAACTTGAATTGTGTCAATACTGAATCATCTTAATAACTGTGATGCAAAAGTTCGTTGTAGACTGCTAACAAGTCCACATCCTCTACCAAAAAAAGGTGAGAGTGGAGCAGATAACCAGAAACAACTGTTACTAAAAGGATTTGCAGCATAATATAAAGAAGAATTTTTTTAAGACTCTGAACATCTGTTTTAAACAACTCCACATATAAGATGATCTTTATACCAAGTTTTATAGTCAACTCTGATCTTGTGAAATTAGAGTCATCAATTATACAAAAGGAATAATTAGAAGACTTGTTGGTTTACGTATTATATGATCATAGTCCAAGACAAATAGAGTTCTCTGCCAACTGCTGCACTAGTGCAAATCAAGCTGTCTTCAGTTGGAGAAAGGACATGAAAAGATGCAGAATATATATGATTTTTTCAGCTAGGCTACAGCCTGGTGATGTTGTCATATGTTTTTCTTCTTTTGTAGCTTGCTGCCTGTCAGAGAAAAGAAAGAGCACCATATTTAATAAACTCTGACTGTGCCATCATGCACTATGGTATCAATATGCAAACACTCCCATAATTTCTATGTGTTTGCACTAAGCTAAACATAAAACCAAGAAAACAAATAGAAGCATATTGTGTGCCAGTACATGTTGCTGTGTCTACCAAATTGGAATTCATTGTGCATAACAGTAGAAATGCAAAGATGTTCTGCAGATATTGCTTACTGGTATTTCTAAGTAGTACATGTTAAGTAGGGAAATCAGATGTAGTACAGACATTCTGCATGTGAAAAATTCCAAATGTGTGCTAATGCTCTTGGATTTTCCTTCTGTGATTGCTTTAAAATCTTTTTAAAATAGAAGTTAATGAAAAGAATTAAGCATAAACAGTTAAACATTTTTTATGTATCTTCCCTCTGTTCCTGCTTGAAGCCTCAAGAATTTTTCTACCAGTATTGTAACTGGTCAAAATATATATTCAGAATTGTTCTGTCTTTGCTATTGAGTGTGATACATTTATTCTGTACTGTATTAGGCCATCCCAGTTTAGAGCCTCCTTAGAGGATGTAATTTTAGACATCACTTACTTTCAGAAGCCTTTTCTGTGGATAGATTTATTGCTGGATTCCTTGATGTAGGTCAGAAAATATGATCAAATAGCAAAAG